TCTCAGGGTCCTGGGATCGAGCCCCATGTCGGGCTCCCTGCTTGGCGGGGAGCCTGCTTCCCCTTCTGCCTTCCCCTGCTCCTCCTCTCTTGCTCACTCACTCTCTCTCTCTCAAACAAATAAATAAAATCTTTTTTAAAAAATGACCAACGAATATAAAGACCAGGGACATGGGGACTACACCAGTACAGGAAACAACAGAAGGTGCCCCTGACGTGCCAGGAATGTCAAGGAATTTTGGCAGATGGAACCAAATTGAAGAAAAATACCATAAGCCAAACAGCGCTCCCTCCCCCCCCGGCCAAGAACAGAGTGGGTTCTTGAGAAGCAGGGCTCTGCCACCTCTTACTTGAAAGGGCAAAGTCCTGAGGGGACAGCGGGCCACGGGGCAAACAAAGCCCACAAAGACCCCTCTGGGTCAGTCAGGTCAGGGGTATCTGTGATGCCACAACTCATCGCTGGGTAAAGATCAGACCAAAGGGAACGATGCACCAGGAGCAGTGGATTCCCCAAACCCAGAAAGGAATCAATGATGCAGAGACTACGAAGGAGCTTCCCTTCCCCTCCCCTCAGGCTGCTGGATCTCTAACTTGATATATTAGTCCACGTCACTGAGCAAATATGGGAGAAAATCCACAAGGTATCTATGAAGAGATCCTGAAACAAACAAGGACAACATGGCATTCCTACTTATAAAAAAGACTCAGCGCAGGAAGCAAAAATAATTTTTCAAGAGCATCTCCTTATAGCCTCAAAGCTTCTGAACATATATGGGCTGTGCAGATGAGGTAAGACGGTGAAAGAAGAAGAAAATAAAGAAGAGGCTTGAGAAAGAAACTGGGAACTGAATGAGGTAAGAAAAAATACGACTAAATCTAAAAATACAAAAGCCAAATGAGTATCTGCATTAGAAACCACACAAAGCGGCACTGATTCGATAGAAACTGGCCCAGTGATGTGGAAAGCAAACAGGAGAAGTTCTCCCAAGAGGTACAGAAGAACAAAGGGACCAAGGTCATGAGGGAGACGGACAAACAAAGGAGGACGGTGAGCGGAGCGCGCGTACCAAGTCGAGGTTCTTGGGAACCAGAGCCCATAAAACTGCCACAGGGAAGGACCCACAACTGCAGATTGAAAGGGGTCACGCAGCACCCAAAATTCAAGTGGAAGGACGAAACTGGGATACGCTCGGATGAAAACTTGAAACGGCCGGTGCAGAGACAGAAAGAACCTGACGAGCATCAAATGGGGGTATAAAGATTACTGCATGTACGAATGGACCAAATGGACCGTCTGGGCTGGCCTCAGACTTCCCTCCCAAAAGCCGGCGGGTCAGAAGCTGGTGGTTACATAAATTCCACACGGGATTAAGCCACACAGAACAATTACTACTGCACACGCCCCAGTGACTGTGTGTAAAACTGGCGAAATCTGAATGAGGTTCGTACTCTAGTTAATAGTCTCATGCCAGTGTCATTTTCCTGGTTTTGATATTATATTATATTGTAGTTCTATCCAATGTTCTCATTGGGGGAAGCTGGGCGCAGGGTACCTAGGATCTCTGTACTACTTGGCAACTTCCTGTAAGTCTATAATTATATATTTTTTTAAAAAGTAGGTCAAGCATCAAGGTCCACTACAGAAATCTGAAAGAAAAAAGAATTCCATACCCCAATAAACTCCTGTTCATACGTGAAAGCAAAGGATAGTCATTCTCCATTATGAAGACAAGGTATGATGCCAGAAAAAGAGTCAAAATAAAATTTTCACAAATCAGAAAAAAAAATCACAGATTTTTTAAATGGGCGGACATGGTCTAAAAAGGTCTACTGATGAGCACTGAAACCAGCTAAGGAGACTTCAATTTGAATAATTGTTATGGATGTGATTTTAAAACTAGCAGCAAACATAATGTTTAAGAAATAATACATGATCAGAAAATTTATAATATAAATAAATTATGCCTAAAAACTCCTATCAGGGGCGCCTGAGTGGCTCAGTTGGTTAAGCATCCAACTCTCGGTTTTAGCTCAGGTCATGATCTCAGGGTCGTGAGATCAAGTCCTGAGTCAGGCTCTGCACTCAGCACAGAGTTGGCTTTAGATTCTCTTTCCCTCTCTCTCTGCCCCTCCCCCACCGGCTCATGCCCGCTTGCTCTTTCTATCGCTCAAATAAATAAAATCTAAAAAAAAAAGAACAAACACTCCTTACCTGTGTGGGCAAAAGACATGATTAGATCATCCACACACACACCCCAAATTCAAACATCCATGAAACACATGAAAAAATAAAAACCTCCCAATCATGAATAATGAAAGAAATACAGATGAAAACATCTCTGTAATAACTTGCGAGTAAATCTGTTTGGTCTTCAAACCTTCACAATACCACAAGACAAATAATACCTTTAAGTTTCCTTTAAGTACTTATATAAGCCTTAAACTTGATCATGGCTTTTCTCAGAGTTCACATTAAAGAAATAATAAAAAATGGTGTATCAAGATTTCTGCTCCGGGGCACCTGGGTGGTTCAGTCGGTTAAGTGGCTGCCTTCGCCTCAGGTCATGATCCCAGGGTCCTGGGATCGAGCCCCATGTTGGGCTCCTTATTCAGCAGGGAGCCTGCTTCTCCCTCTCCCCCTGCCTGCCACTCCACCTGCTTGTGCTCTCCCTCTCCCTATCTCTAGCAAATAAATAAAGAAAGAATCTTTATAAAAAAGATTTCTGCTCCAAGACTGGGGGATGAATATAGCAAATTGGTCAGCGAATTAGCCAAGCCCTGCTTGCTCGAGTGAACAGCAATCAAATGATGTCAATAAAAGTAATTTCATTTTAGAGCTTACTAGGGACCCAAAGAGAGAATTATGGGTGCCTGGCCCATGGTTTAAGTGCTCAGTAACCATTAGACAGTGGTAGCAGCAGAGATGTCTTTATCTACAACACTGCACAACAGGTTCAAAACCCCTTATCTGAAATGCTTGCAGTCAAATGTCCCTCAGCATTAAGACCTTTTTGGATATACGGAGTGCTTGGGTGGCTCAGTTGGTTAAGTGTCTGCCTTCGGCTCAGGTCATGATCCCGGAGTCGTGGGATCGAGTCCCGCATCGGGCTCCCTGCTCAGCAGGGAGTCTGCTTCTCCCTCTGACTCCACCCCCTCTTGTGCTCTCTCTCAAATAAATAAATAAAATCTTAAAAAAAAATTAAAATTTAAATTAAAAAAAAAAGACCTTTTTGTATATCAAAAAATAATAGCATATTTACCCAATGAGGTCTGAGAGAGTACCTGGTAATCAGTTATATTACTATTCCTATAGGAATATATATATGAATATTCATTCTAAGTAAGATAAATACCAGTTCAGGTCAGGTTTTCCAGTAGACTGAATTAAAAAAAAAATTCAGTTTTTAGAGCTTTCTGGACTTCAGATTTGCATGGAAGGGACTGAGTACCCGTATTTATAATAGAGAAACATTAAAATCTATCTAAATGTACGATAATAAGGGATAAGTTACATAAATTACAGTAGTCATAAGATGGAAAACTAGACTGCTCTAAAAAGTCATTTTTTCAAAGAATATTTAATAAAATGGGAAAATGTTCATGAATAGTAGGTAAAAAAAAAAAAAAGGCAAGATAAAAACACGCATTATGAATTCAACTTTGCAAAAGGAAGTTACATAGATGCTTATTAATTCCAGAATAAAAGACACAAGGAACCATACCAGGATATTAAATTAGCCGCACTGACTTACGTTCTTCTTTAGACTTTTCTGTATTTTCTAATCTTCTACGATAATCCGCTAATATTTTGAACCATTTAATGGCTAATGTTCCTGTACAGGACTAGAGAGTTACCAAGTCCATCTCTGCCCTCAAGGAATCTAGAATCTCATCTCTGGAGAGCTCCGGCCAGGACTCAGGTGTCTCTGCATCAGACTGCATTTGGTTCGCGATTCCCCACTAGCACCTCAGGACAATGGGACCAGGCCACCGGGACTTTTTCACACCTCCACCAAATGAAACACTTGATAACCTTGCAAGTCAAGCCAGTGGTAAAAATGGCATCAGTGATGTAACGAGAACTTGATTCAGCTCATGACCTTATCTAAAGAAGCTACCAGAAAAAAACAAAAAGGCCTGTTGAAATGTGTTTGCTCTCTTTCACTGTACTCATCAAATCTCCATTATTTAAGAAATTGCTGAAGGAGGAAAAGATCGTATTTGGGTTTGTTCCAGGTGCTTCTCATGGGGAAGAGGATGTGAACTTGACCTTGATAGGTCCAGCAATGAAAACGTCAATCATTTTGTGGAGCATATGGATGCTAAGAGGGATCGTGACATTGGATGGTCCAGTGAAGGGACAGGCAGGAATCCCTCCTACCAAACAGGCCACCAGTGTCCAAGGAGGTGGGCCTCTGGCCGGAGCGCTAAAGGGCTCAGTTCCCAGTTTCCTGAATGGTCCTAACACCCAGGTGGTCTTCATGAACTCCTCCCACACCTGGAATTCTCCACTGGTTTAGTACACAGTTCAAAAGCATTTTACACCAAAATGCCACTTGTGACGCAAGCATTACGAGCTGTTATGAGACTCAATTTTGGACTTGGAACAAAGGTAAATAGATGGTCAGTCAACTTAACACCTAACCACCCAAAAAACCCCGATGGGTGGTTAGTTAAATCACGTTTATAGAGATTCCAATAGTCTTTTTTAAATATTGCAGAGAAGAGGAGAAATCCACATGTAAAGCTTTTGACACACATAAATTCTAGTCAGCTGTAGAGTAAGTTAACTCTCTTACCTTAATCCCATAGAAAATTACTTGTTTGCAGGCAGACTGTCCTCCGAGAATATTTTTTCATTTGTGGAGTGCTTGCTAATCCTTCCCTCCCTCCCTTCCCCTCTCCCAACCCAAAGAGGAGAAACATAAAGTGTGCATGATCTCCTGTGTAGCTGGGACCTTCATAAAAATGAAACAGTTCCAGGAGAAAGGGCTGACTTACCCTATCCCAGCTGAAACACAGGCCCAGTCGATCAAGCTGCTTCCTCATGTGTTCAATATTACTGTGAAACAGAGGGAAGAAAGTTTGGTTTTCAGAGGGGGGAAAGTCACAGACAAACCATACTTTGAGAATGTGAAGGGAAACTGTAAAAGTCTAGATTATTCAAGAGGGCTTCCAATGTTGCTTTGCCCCAGCAAAAAAAAAAAAAAAAATTAATCACTAAGAATTAACGAAAGTATCAGCGTATTAGAATTAGAAGACACTCATTCTTCGGATTCATACAGAATCTACTAGAAACCACAATGGTCTTTGGCCCTGGGGACTGGCCCTTCCTCTGGCCATGATAGGCAACCCCTTTGGTATGTGCATTCCCGGCCCATCCATACATCTGTATTCCGCACAAATTTAAGCCAAGCATATATAAGTTTAAAATCAACTGAAGAGAAAAACCCTAATGTGCAAATTGTGGGAATCCAAAAGAAACCTGCTTTCGTGCTTATCAGTCAAAACCTAAAATCTAAAACTGTCCAATAATTGGGATGGGGGGAGAAAAGCGAATGAATCAACTTTAATATAATATGAAATAAGGTGATAACATCATTTTTTTTTCTTTCCCCTAGGTAATCTCTGCTTAGCCAACAATAGCTTATTTTATGCCAGGCTTTGTGCTAGACATTTTGCGGAAAAGTGCTTGCTATGGACAATGTTTATGTCCCCCAGAGTCTGTCTGTTGAAATCTAATCTCCAAGGTGATGGTATTTAGAGGTGAGGACTTTGGAAGGTGATGAGGTCATGTGGGGGAAGCCCTCTTGAATAGGAGCAGAGCCTTTATGAAATAGACGCCAGAGAGCTTCTTTGCCCCTTCTGCCATGTGGGGACACAAAGATGGCCATCTGTGAACCAGGAAGGAGGGTCTTCTCCATACACCAAATCTGCAGGTGCCTTGGCCTTGGACTTCCCAGCCTCCAGAACTATGAGAAAGAAATGTCTATTGTTTATAAGCCAACCCAGACTATGGCATTTTTGTTACAGTAGGCAACGAAGATGGTGCTTAATCTTCATCCATTCGGATGAGGTAGGAACGATGACTATCCCTCTTGTACAGACAAATAAACTGAAGCACAGAGACATTAAGTAATTTTCTCAAGGTGATTAGCAAGCAAGAAGGAAAGGCAGGTTTTGCACCGAGGTGGCCTGATTCAGGGGCCATCTTCTTAATGGCTATTTTCTCCATGGAGGGTTTGGGAAACTTCTTCTGTAAAGGGCCAGATGGTAAATGTTTTCAGCTTTGTGAGCCATATGTCTATCACAACAACTCAACTCTGCCCCTGTATCATGAAAGCAGCCATGTAAACAAATGGGTATGGCTGTGTTCCAATAAAACTTTATTTACAAAATCAGGCAGGGCCAAATCTGGCCCACGGGCCCTAATTTGCCAATCCTCGGTCTAGCTTACATCAATTTTGTGCCATATTTGATCCACTTTATTTTATTATCTTTTCTTCCTTTTTTCATTACTCCCATTTAATCTAGAACTCACCATAACTAAAAAAGTGGAACTAAGGGTTAAGAGAAAAAAAAAGTGGATGGTACAGTGGATGTTTTTCGAAAGTAGGCTCGGGCAAGATAAAGCAAAGGGAGGTCAAAGACAATGGGGACAGGCCCTGGAACTGCCCTTCTAGATCTCTTGAGGCACGGAGTGGGGAAAGGCCCCAGATCTTTGTGAAAGAGGCTGATGGAGTGAGCCCAGAACATTCCACTGGGTTCTGGGATGAAGGATGGGCACTGCTGGCCCACATGTACGTGGAAGCCTGAGGCACAGGTGGAATTGGGAATGTGTCCCCCTTGGAGAAAGCCATCCCTGAAATATATTGGCCATATATTTCTATATTGAATGTCTAAGTTCCCCTTGCTCTGGAATGGTGAAGGCAAAAATTAACAGAATTCTCAGAGAAAATTACAATGTGGAATTTGGATATAGCTCACACTGTGGTCAAGCAGATGAGAAGCATTGTAGAAATTGAACAAAGGCAACCCTCTCCTTCTTTTTCCTTCCAAATGCAAATACTCAAGGGAAGAATAACTTTGTAACAACAAAGCATCAAAATGAACACATGAATGAATACCCAGAACCTTCTTTGGGACTTCTCAGTTAAGAATACAGCACGCTGGGCGCCTGGGTGGCTCAGTTGGTTGAGCGAATGCGTTCGGCTCAGGTCATGATCCTGGAGTCCCGGGATCGAGTCCCACATCGGGCTCCCTGCTCAGCGGGGAGTCTGCTTCTCCCTCTGACCCTCCTCCCTCTCATGCTCTCTGTCTCTCATTCTCTCTCTCGCAAATAAATAAAATCTTAAAAAAAAAAAAAAAGAATACAGCACGCTAGAAGACAAACGCCAATATATACAATCCTGTTCATCGCTTGGCAGACTGCAATGTTCTGTTTGCTTCGCTATCTGTTTCTCATGCACAGATTAAAACATTTTTTTAAGGTTTCTGTATAGAAGTATTTGAAGACACCTGTAGATACATACCTTTGCGTCCAACTTTCTGGATGTAGATTCCTCTCAATCGCTGCATTTTCAGCAGGCAGTCCAAAGGCATCCCATCCCATGGGGTTGATGACCTAGCATCCAGAAGAGATACATCAGCCACGGCGGATTGCTAAGACCTCTATCCGTATTGTCTTCCGGGCCATAAACAGGCATTCTCTCCTACTAACATGTCATATCCTTTTCTGGATGATTCCAGACTATGCTTCTGAAAGCCAGCTATCTACTAGGACATATGCTGAGGAGAGTATTTAGAAGGTTAAACACCAAGGTGCTCATAGCCGTTATCTCTGAGTAGACTCTTCTTTGTGACTACTCTACTTTCTTCTTGTCTGTATTGTCTATAATGAAACCAAACTGTTTTTCTAAATTATAGGTGTTTTTTTTTAATTCCCAAAATACGTACATGTAAAAATGTAGAGGCATTTAAAATGCTCACCTCGTATTACTATCTTCCAATGGAGGAGCTGTGCCGTCCAATATGGTAGCCACTGGCCACATGTGCTTATGTAAATTTAAACTTAAATTAATTAAAATTAAAAATTCATCAGTCCCTCAGTCGCACTAGCCACCGTTCAAGAGCGCAACAGCCACTTTGAATCACTCCCTGGAAGATGTTCCTATTCTCTGACGAATAGGGAAGCCTAAAATCTTAGAGCTCAAAAAGGCTTTTGAGATCTGTCCTCCAACCCTAACCCCCTTTAATTTCACAGTTTAAGCAACGTGGCCCAGCAAGAGTGAGCAGCCTAGCTGGATAACACCAGAAGCAATTACCTTCAGCCGGGATGGGCCAGTAAGGCGTTCACTTCTGCAAATGGACAGCAGTTACAGCTCAGCAGGCAGCTTCTGTCCACCTACTTTACATGCTGTGAATGGGAACAGTGGCTTGAAACACGCACCGTGGCACCGAGGGACAGCCTTGTTTGTAACCATATAGACAACCTGAGCTTGGGTTCACACACATTGCCTTGGGATAACGATGGATACTCAGAGGTATCAATCACCTCATCACCCATGCGTACCACCACAGGCCATTTTCCACTAAAGAAATAGGTCTTGTTTTCTTTTCTAAAAATACTTTTCCCTCTGATATGTGAAGTAATGCATATTCACTATACAGAGAGAAATACTCAGAAGAAAACAAAACTCACTTGTAATTCTACCAGACAGCCATACATAACCAGTTAAATTTGGTAAATTTATATCTAATTTTTAGAGATAGGGATCATATTTTATATATATATATATATATGATACGGATACATATATATATGTGATAGAGATAGGGATCATATCATTTATATATAAAGAGAGAGATAAAAAAATATATATATATTTTATCTCTTATTTCCTTCCCACTGCACACCTGGGGTTTTCTTCCATCTTTCTGTCTGGCCCAAGGACTCTCTGAGGTGCATATGCGTATCGCCCACGGCCATCCTGCCTCAGGTCCATAGGCACCTATGATTCGAAGTATCCCAAACCCCTTTGGCTAATGAGTGGGAAACGCCAACGAAGGCTCGCTCTTCAGGAGGCTGTGTGGTCTGAGGGGAAAAGTCCCAAACCCAAGCCTGCCATTTACTGGCAGTGGGACCCGAGGCACATTACTTACTCGGACTCTCAACTCACACTTGTGACAGAAAGCAGCCACCTTGCGCTGAGGATTATATGCCATGTCGGTGGTGCGCTCAGCATGGCGCCCAGTCCACGCACCCGAGACATGGGGGCGCTCGCTACGTGGCAGCTGCCATCATCTGGTACCCCTGGTCTGCAGCACCCACACGTGGCACATCACTAGTTGCCCTGGCAACATTTCAGCCGTGTCACTGGCCAGAGGTATTACAGTGGCCCTCTGACAGCAGGTAGGGAGACGCCTTGACCTCACACACGTCCTGAACGTGGCTTACTCATGGCAACTGTCTGCAGCACGTTGGTGCCAGGCACTGGAAGTTCTTAACCAAACTGAAAGGACCACGAGGTTTAAACATGTAGGTCTTTTTAAAACATTCTCACATTCCCCAGGTACATCTGTTCTTTGTAGTTCTGGGAACCCAGCTAGACACAACCCAATCCAGTTGATCTTTCAGACCCAACCCGAGGTCTCTCTGCCTCTTGCTAAATGTGGCAGACCCAAAATGCTTCACCCTTCCGGACAGTGTCCCTGCCCTTCTGGAACCTGCTCCTCCTCCAACTTCACACAGTCCTGGTGGGGGCTGCCAATCACAAAACCTGCCCCTCTGGTTACGGGCCTGAACGTGGAGGTGGGATGCAAAATAGAACAGGAAGGCAACAGCACACTCTCTTCACTACTTTCTCCTTGGCCCGGAGGAACAAGGAGATGAGACCAACCGGGGCTCCAGGTGACCCCACCTTCCACCGGATGGAGGTGTCTGAGAAAACAAAGCTTGCATGGGGACCGAGACTGAGGGTACTGACATGCTGCCAGGACCTGGTCCCAACGCCCACGGGCTTGTTTCCCGCAACACTGCCTCTCATTCTATGAGCTACACCAGGGTCTGTAAACACGAACAAACTTCCCTTTTTGGCATAAGCTGGGCTGGGCTGGGCTGCAGTCCTTGGTAGCCAAGAATCCTGAGTAAAACAAACACCTTTTAGGATACAGCTTTCTCTTCAGCATTGCTTAAGCCACAGATGAAAAATATTCCCTTGTAATAAACTATTAAGCTTCACAGATTTTTTCTCTCTTTTCCTTTAATTTTCAAAAGCTATAAACAAACAAACAAATAAATAAAATCAACCCCATGTCAGGGATTTGTCCTGGATTACTAGAAAGTTCTGCAGTACTTCCGCGGACTGCACAGGAGTGTAACTTCCAGCTGTGCTTGAATTCTCCTAGGGCTGCTTCACTGGCAGAAAAATGTAACTGTTGTGTAACTGCTCCAGGAGAAGGGGGATTACCACTTGGTTTCCTTGTGGGAGCTGCCAAAACGGCACCGTTCAATCCTCCTGCCTATTAACATTCTGTTAGACGCTGTCCATATTTTTAAATAAAGTCAATACAGAGACTGTCACAAAAACCAGTCTGGATTTACGTAATATTTTTCTATTTTTGTTTTCAGATGAAATTCACATGAAAAGATATTCTTAGCCCACATGTTACCCAAGCTGTCTATGAAAAATCAAGCTGGAAAATCTTAAAGCTTAATATTCCATTCTTCCCGAAAATCGACAAAAAAGCAAATGCCTGCCCTAGAATACAGACTGTGGGAAGGCCTTTCTGCATCTTGAAGTCAGAATGGTTCCCTCCACCATGGGCCGGATCACTGGAATAAACGTTCCCATGAGCTAAGTTTCTACGGAACAGGAAAGGGGTCCTCTCACTCCTAGACCCTGGGTTTCCAGACCCAGGGACCAACAACTGCAGAACCCACTCTAATGCTATAGGAGACAATTCATGACTGTCAAGGGGGAACCAAGTGAAGACCTATAATAGGATCATGAAATACCAAAGCCCATCCCTTTCTCTGAGGCAGAAGGTTCTATCTGCTGGTCAAACTGTTACAGCCCATTTATGTAAAAGATACCATGTCAGGTGCTTCCTCTGCCAGCCTCCTTCGCCTCTTGGTCTCTTACACATCGTCCACATCGAATACCTCCAATCTAGGTCCGGGATGCCGGCTTTCTTGCCTGTGATTCCCTGTGGCCAAGACTGTCCAAAACATTCACCGGGAGGAACTCCAGACTCTCCTTTTAGGTTCTCAAATTCCTACCCCTTTCTTTCTTTCACCGTAACTTGGTTTAACCTTTAATGCTAGGGCCACCTGAGCCCGCTCAATTCCCTAGGAGTTAATTCTTCCTGGACGTGAGTGCTTTCTGCAGAAAAGGAACCAAGAAAAAGTCCTAGTAGCTCTAACTTGGAAATCTGTAACATAAACTTCCGGTGTGTGAAAAACCATCATTTCCAGCCGTTCTTCTAACAAACACTCTAAGTATTTACAATTGAGTGAGACGCCAAGGGGGACAGCAGAACAACCCCCAAGTCTGGAAGAGTGGGACACCGCCACCACCCCTAGACTGAAGGAAAAAAGTGGGAAGCAGAGGTAACAGAGCTCCAAGGCCAAGATCAGGTATAAAAACTGAAACACATGTGGATCTGCCCAAATGGAACTGGATTCCTGAAGAAGCTGCTGACCAGCGCAGAGAGAGAGAAATTCTCTGGCTTCTCCTTCCCTCCTGCACTCCAGTCTTGCCAGAATTTCTTACTGTCCAAAACCAGCTGGAGGCCAGCTGCCACCAGGGCTTGGGAAACGTGGTCTGCGGGGGTCAGTCCTTCTGCTGTACAAGGCAAAGCAATGGGTGGAGCTGACAGCCGACTGGCTACGGGCCAGCCCGGCAACACCAGTAAGACCGCAAACCTACCACAATCTGAGATATCAAAGGGGAGTCAGGGCCAGCTACGGAAGAGGGGCGAACCCAGGGATCAGAGACCTGGCAAGTCAGACCAGAGGCGGACAGAAGGCGAGGGCTGGAGCTGGGGCGAGGCCAGCCTCTGGTGTGGACAGAGTCACGTGTCCATGGCTCACCCTGACGGGGCCTTCTGCCGCTCCCTGAGCTGAGCCGTGGGCGTCCCAGGGTTGGCAGGCAGGATAGGATGGCAAGCAGACGAGAAGAAAGGGATACAGGAGAGAGCACAGTTACAAATGACAACGTGCAGACAAGGCTCGGAAGGGATACACACCGATACATGCTAGGGATCACTGCCCAGAAGGGCGTGGTCAGGGAGGAGGTGGTCAGAAGGGACTGTGGCCTCATCTATGCTGTATTTCTTCTTTTTAAAGGGGGGAATATGGAATGTTACGTACAATTTAAAAATACATTTTTTTTTTTTTAAGAAGGAAAAAAAGAACAGGCAAAGACACAGTTCTTCCTCCAACACAGGAAATAAGATCAAGTAGAGGTAAGAAAACTTTTCAGGTAGAAGGGAAGGAAGCTGGGGCAGCTCGTCGTCTGCCTTCCTGATGGCAAGAGAAATAGCACAATTGTTGCTACAAAAGGGCCAGCCTATTCCCTAGGAATGACCAGCTTTCTCTCCTTTTCATCATAAAACAAAACT